ATTGTAAAGAAATGCCCTACTTGCTCTTTCTATAACCAAACGCCACTGCCTGCAGGGGCTAATCCAAAGGGCACCCAAAGGAATGAAATCTGGCAGATGGATGTGTTCCACTTTGCAGAATTTGGCAAATTAAAATATGTACACCACACCATAGACACGTATTCAGGTTTTCAATGGGCTACTGCCCTGAGCTCAGAAAAGGCTGATTCAGTAATCACACATTTATTGGAAGTTATGGCCATCATGGGTATACCTGCGCAAATAAAGACAGATAATGGTCCAGCATATGTATCTAAGAAAATGAAACGCTTTTTTGATTATTATAATATAAAACACATTACAGGTATACCAAATAATCCTACAGGTCAGGCAGTTATAGAAAGATCAAATCGTACTATAAAGGATATGCTGAACAAACAGAAAGGGACTGAAAATACCCCCAGAAATAGATTACATAATGCTTTACTAACCTTGAATTTTCTTAACGCTAATGAGAAAGGAACGACAGCAGCAGAAAGACATTGGATAATGGAAAAGTCTGCTGAACTAAATCAACCGATTTATTTCAAAGATGTGCTGACCTCTCAGTGGAAGCCAGGAGATGTGCTACGTTGGGGAAGGGGTTTTGCTCTTGTTTCCACAGGAGAAGAAAAATTGTGGATACCATCAAAATTAATAAAGTTTCGATTTGAAGAGGAGAAACCTCTTGGAAAGGAGAAATGACAACTCATCCACAACGATGATATTCATACAGGTGGTAAGAAAAACATATAGAATGGGGGCAGGGTTCTGTTCTTATCTCCATAGGAAAACACTCATCTTTGAGAAATTCAAGGGACCCTGGATGTTTGGATACTGACAGATGGAAAAATACCTGCCCAATAGGAAATATCAAGACAACTGAATGGGTTGTGTAAGTAATATTAAACCATATTTCTAAATTTATAAAGCTGGTTTTGAAGTTGGACTCTGGCTCAGTCCCTCTCCAATTCCAAGCCTGTTAGTAAGAGAAAAACCCAGAGTTTCTGGAGTTTCTGTCTCATGTCAAGAGCCATGATATGGGACAGAAAGAAATATGAGTTTAGAAAACATCTTTGCTTCTCTTCATATCTATCATACTTTTCATTGAATATATCTATCATGTCTTTCATTGAATATATATATATATATGTCTATATGATTAATGTTTAAGTTTTTCATAATGAGCAATGAGTTTTTCCTGAAGTGACATTTGAAGTTTCCAGGAAGAAGATGGGGCCCCATAACAACAACTCCACCTGGTTGATATGACGTCATGATACTGATAGCGCTACTACAAGACCTGCTTTTGGTACCAGCTGCACAAGACAGTTCCAACTTGGTTAGCTGAAATGGTGCACATCTTATACAACATTTTGGCCAGACCTGCACGAAAATACTCAGAGACTATTTGCAATTTTAAAAGACATTATCTTGAAATTTAACCATCATTTTACTTTCACAGGATCCCCCAGAAAGAACGTCGCCCCTATGACAGCTGGAAGTAATTCTAGAGAACGACGTCCCCTCTCCCAGTAAAGTTTGCCCTTGGGTTTAGGGACATCATTTAGGGGTTGATTATAATTAGTATATGATTGAGGGTTGGGGGAGGAATTTTATAAGCTCAAGGATCATTTTGAAAAAAAAAAAAAAGAGGGAATGATGGGATAATAGATTTATAATTGTGAGTTACTGCTTTTAGACAAATATATTGGTATCAATTCTTGTATAATGAAACAAAGTTAAATTATATGGACTATTGTACGCATGCATGTTTCTACCTCTGTTTAAAACATTTTTATGTATTGACATATATTGTATTGATATATATATTGTATATATTTACCATATTGCAGTGTACATTTCTACCTCTGATTAAGATACTTATATAATATTTGTGTATTGATATATATTTACCTACTGCAATGTATATTTGTACATTGTTTATATTTGGAGATCATTGTCCTCATTTGTTTCACAGTCGTTTATTGTCTTATTCTTTAAGTTAGATAGATATTGAGAATTATATAGACTAATTGTCATCTAAGTTTGTCATTTATAATTAGACTAATCAGGTTCTTTAGATATATAGAGATTATACTCAGTATAGATAGATAATCTTCAACCTCTTCAAAGAGCTGTAGAAAATGGCCTTTAATCTAACTCAGAGTTTCGTGATAGTGAGACACAATTGCTCCTGGCAACACCGCTCTATTCCCGAGAGAATGTTGAGCACCAAAAACACTCCACCTGGAGCCTTTCTATTTGGCAGAACTGGCCTTTGGGCAAAGAAATGCCCATACCTCAACCACTGACACAGATACAGAGCATGCATCAATGGATAAAACAGGACTGTCATATCCTGCCAAGACAGGGTAAGATAGTTTTGAAAAGTTCCTTGCCTTTAATAATGGTATGTCAGTTATGTTAGGCCTTAGCCAAAATTGGTTGACTCAACGTTGCAAACGAGACTTTGGGTGATTGCCCAGGTAGTCAGTTGTCTCTGTCAATTGTTGCACATTTTGGATATATCTCGTTTGTTGAGTAGTGTTTATTCCCTTCTCAGATCTTTGACTGAGTTGAAGATTATATAATTGTAGTTACTCTTTACATTATTTGGACTCCTTGAGATAGAATGTTTAGCAAAGCTTTTGTTCTCAATATTGTTTGTTATATTTATTATTTGTTGTTATTGTATGTAGTTGTATTTGGTTTAGTTCTGTCTTATTTAGACAAAAAGGGGAGATGTAGGGATAAGTCCCGCCCCTTAGGGGGCGTGTTCGCCTCGGGCTAATGTCTGCCTATAAATTTGGCAAGCAAGCTCCAAGGGCTTGCTTCTGCTTTCCTGGTCTCCGCGGGAACGGTGGTTCTGTAAGTCTATTTCTACATTAAAGCTATATATATATTTTTACACTCTGTCTGCATTCATTTACGCCGTTACATATCTGACAAGTTTTATAATCTGATATAGATAATGCTTCACTGTGAGGCAAAATCTTGGCTCTCCTCAATATCCAGAGACCTCTGTAGAGCTTTCTAGAATGATATGAGTAGAGAGGGTAACAGTGGCAGGCGCACCTGCAGGAGAGCACAAGGCAGAACTTCCTGGGACAACCCAGTACAATCCAGGGCACTCCCCATGCCAGTGTCATGAAGTCTCTGGACCATGCCTGCTCCCTATACAGTCCAAATGAAGGACATCCTTGGGTGACCCCACGATGGCTTCCTGCTTGGAGGAATTTCATAGAATCGGGAAGCACTTATCCCTTCATTCCGCATGTCCCCACCTGATCCTGTGTACTTCTTCTGAACATTATCGCTAAGAGTGGATTCATCCTGCTTACTGGAGTCTGAGTCCCATGGGAGCAGAGTCTAGCTACTGCTGTGTCACACCAGAGCCTTGTCCAGTGCACAGGGAAAACCAAAAATGTGTTGGTGGCAATAGCTCGCCTCAACAGAAAAACCAAAGTGTGGGATTTAAGTGAAAAAGCACCAACATATGGAATGAGTAAATCCTGGCTGTGTAAGACAGAAAACTGTTCTAGAGGTTTTTTAGTTCCTTTTCTATTTCTGACGAGGCACCATGACCAAGATAACTTACAGAAGAAAGGGTTTATTTGGGGCTTACAGTTTCAGGGGTGTAGAGTCCAGGACCATCATGGTAGGGATGACATGGTGCTGGAGTAGTAGCTAAAAGCTTACATCTTGAGACACAACTCCCAGGCAGAGAGAGCTAACTAAAAATGGCATGGGCTTCTGAAACCTCACAGACACTCCTCCTCCAACAAGGTCATACCTCCTAATCTGGTTTAACAAGCCCACCAGTTGAGAACCAAGTATTCAAATACAGGAGCCTATGGGGCCATTCTCATTCAAACCACCAGAGGTTAATAAGTAGACAAAAAATAAATGGGCTAGCATTTTCCAAATACTTCTATTTGGAACACTGCCTTGGCACATCTCAAATCTATCCTGGACAGTTTGCAGAGGGTACCAGTTTGCATGCTGAGCATGCCACGCTCCCATGACAGAAACGAGTCCTGCTATGTTATCCAGAAAAGAAACAAAACTGGGGATGATTTGCTCCCAGCTGTGAAGAAGTTTCCCCAAGCTGATTTCTCCCCATGTCCCAGAAAACATGAGCAAGGTGTTTCACTAATTTGTACAAAATACCAAAATACTGAACGCAATTCCATGACCATCAAAGGTGCAGACTGAGTAAGGCAGTCAGATTGTGGCATGTAGCCAGACAGTGGTGGTGTATGCCTTAAATCCTAGTACTCAGGAGGCAGAGGCAGGCAGATCTCTGCGAATTCGAAGCCAGCCTGGTCTACACGGGCTTCTTCCAGGACAGCTAGGGCTACACAGAGAAACCCTATCTCGAAAAACAAAAACAAAACAAAACAAAAAAGTATACATGCAGAACTATTGCAATATGTTGTAATGAAGCTGCCCGGCTACTTAAATAGATAGCTTAGGTAAACCACAGAAGCAAAATCTCAGGAGAAAACAGAAAGCTATGGAATACATCAGATATCATGCCTTTCCAGTTACAGTCAATGTACTAAAAATATATAAAAACAACCCAGCCATAGATTCGTCAAGCCGGACTAGCTGGGGTCAGATCTTAGCCCTGCCACCCATATTCCATGTAACTCTGAGAAAAATACTTGACTTCTTCACCTCAGTTTCTCCACCTGTAAAGTGTAAATAAGAGCCTGCCTCAGTAAGTTTTAAGATTGAAGCTCACAGAATAAAAATTAAAGAAGGAATTTGGGAGAAATAGCAGAACCAGAAGTAGTTTAGGTCTTAAGTTGGGCGGTAGGCACATATGCCTCCATTTCACATGCTCCCTACTGCATTTGCAAACACCAGATACTAAACTTGTCAAGCAGGAGCAAGGTGGCCCATGCCAAGGCTCTATCAACAGACCCAGAGTAAAACCTTATGGAGCTAAGGACACTATCTTGGGCGATGTGTACCTGGTTCTCAGTTGGTCACTGGCAGTTGCAGTCCAGTTCTGGATCAGCCCCAGGACTGGGTTCTTCTTATACCGCTTGTTGTACTGGGCCAGCAGTTCCCGGGCCACGACCTGCACAGAAAGTTAATGCTGCATCAGCCGTGCCTCACAAGTGTATGGCCTATCCGTGTCCTCAAACGCGGCAGTCAGAGTAAGTCCACCTGCTATTAGCAAGCTCTTTGGAAAGAAAGAAATCTACGACCCCACCCATTCTTCTGGGGACCTCCATAGCCCATGGTAGATATGTGGCATTTACCAGACCACTCTGCTCCCACCCCATGGTTGAGTCCTAACTCTGGAAAACTGCTCTCTCTCCCTTGGCTTCTGCCAGCCTCCCACACTAGCCTTGGGACCAGCCATCTTAGTCGATGTATCACGTGAAATCTACTTTCAATGGCCCAGACATCTCTGTTCCCTTTTCTGCCTTTGATTTTCTCTGGTTGATTAAACCTTTGGAGGATACTATTAAAATATGCTAGGCAGTGGTGGTGCATGCCTTAAATTCCAGGAGGCAGAAGTAGGTGGATCTCTACGAATTCAAGGTCAGTCTGATCTACAGAATTCATTCCAGGATAGCCAAGGCTACACAGAGAAACCATATTTCACACCCACCCATCCCCCACAAAAAAACCCTGCAAACAAAGCAATCTGTCATTATCCACCAATTTATCAATATCTACCCCTCCCATGACTTTAAAGTTAGAATTCTGTTTCAAGACACTGAATACTGTTGCAGATCCATTCAGAAATATCTGTGGGTCAGCCACAAAGGAGGCCCAGCCGACAGTGTACAGCTAGAACTCCATGCGTGAGAGGTGTAACTTGGCTCAACCAGCCACTGACCACAGCTCCTATAGGAAGAATGAGTCCAAGCAGAACCAGCCAAACCTTGAACCGTGTTGCCTAAGCTCAGGCTGCGTGGTGACTATAATCCCACACTAACAAATGGTTGTCAAGGCACCCAGCCAAGGGGCACTGATTCACCTTTTCTCTGCCTTCAATTCTAAAAAATGTTCCTCATTATTTTGCAACAGCATGCATATTCTCTCTGTCTCTGTCTCTGTCTCTCTCTCTCTCTGTGTGTGTGTGTGTGTGTGTGTGTATGTGTGCGCACGTACATGTAAGTAGGCACACCCACCCATGTGTGGGAATGTGGAGGCCCAAAGTAAATGTCAGGTTTCCTATCCATTGCCCAACCTTTGTTTTTTTTTTTTTTTTTTTTGCCACAAGTTTCCTGGTTGAAGCTGGAACTTGACATTTTGGCTAGGTTGGAGGAGGGAGCTCCTGGGGTCTGTATCCATTCCCTGAGTGCTAGGGTTAAAGATACACACATACACACAGTCACACCCAACTTTACATGGGTGCTGGGGATCTGACCCAGGTCCTTCATGCCTACCCAACAGGCATTTTGCCCATGGAACTGGCACCCCAGTACTTAACCCTTATATCAACACATTCAGACAGCACTTTCCTTTTTTGGTCACAGAAACTACATCTTCATGTAAATGAACGCAGGGCTCTTAGAGAAAGCCACACTGCTCATGGGAGAGATGCTTTTTTCTTTATTTATTTTTTTCTTTTCTGTAGGAACTTTGTTAGCACTGGTGCTTGAGACCAGGTGTGCAGTGCAGGGGACAACGTCATCCAGCAGAGGACTACACTGCCTGCCATGTTCTACCTCAGTCCAAGTTCAAACGCTGGTAGGAGCCTGGGATCTGACTCCGGTACAGCAAAGCTGTTGGGTTCTCTGGGGCCAGACTCTAGGGAGATCAGCTTTAGGTCAGCACACAGTGACACAGCTATTCTCCTTCCCTACCGATGGCACTCTGCAATACTCCCAGCTGTACCTGGGGCTTAAGCCTCGGCTGTAGTCGGCATTTGAGGCTGTCCTGGCAATTCTCTGTAGAAACGCAGGCATTGCTACATCTTACTGAGATTTGTATTTTGCCTTATTATAAATGATTTCCGGACATCACGATGGCTCAGTGGGTAAAAGCTCTTGCCACCGACTCTGCTGGCCTGAGTTCAGTCCTCTGCATGGTGGAAGGAGAGAACTGGTCGCTACAAGTTGTCCTCTGACTTCCCAATTCTCTGGCAGGAAGTAGAGGAAGCCCTGAACGAGGAAGCCCCGACTAAAGAGTAAATGTCCGCTGTTGATACCGGCATGGCCAAGGACCGCGAAGCTTCAGATCCACGGGCAGGTGGTAAAACCTTCCCAATGGGGGGAGGCCCAGCAAATGCAAAGCCTTCCCTTGGGGCGTTAAGTGCAAGTGTTGATAGTGTGGCAGAAAACGGCTTCTCCCAGCCCCGCCATGTTTATGGACAGAACACTGCTCTCCTTTAGAGACTGCTTCCATGAGATCAGCCAAATCTCCCTCCTTAATCCAGCCGTGGACAGTAATCCCAGACCCCTTGCTTATCTGCATGCAGTAACCATGCCTCCCTGTTCAATGCTATACAATAAACACTCAGTTTCCCGACTGCAGCTTTTCCAGCAGGGAGCCCCAGTCCACTCTAAACCAGGATTTTGGTCTGTGTGTCTCTTATTTCTTTACTCATTCACACCGCCTCATCAGGTCGGGTCTCTGGAACTGTGCAATGGCATGACATTTTTGTTTGGTCCCTTGAAGCATTGTCTTGAAATTTCAAATTTATGTCTTTAGGGGCCAGAGAGATGGCTCGGAGGTTAAGTACACTGACTTCCAGAGGACACAGGTTTGATCCCCAGTACTCATCTGGCAGGTCACAACCTTCTGTAACTCCAGTTCCAGGAGATTGGATGCCCTCTTTTGGCCTCCATGGGTGCGCAGACATACATACAGGCAAAACACTTATGCACATAAAATAAAAATAAATAAATATTTTCAAAAATAAGTTCTACCTTAGACGGACAACATGGCCAAAGGTTTTATCTTGGGATAAAGAGGGTGAAATGAAATATGAGAGGCCAAGTAACATGAGTATTTTTATGACAGCTACAGCTATATAAAATAAGCGTGAAAACCAAACATTGCCAATAGCGAGAGAAACAACCAACTCTAAGTGGAAGTGGAATTAAAACGACCCAGCAGTCAAGCTCAAGGTTCACCGCTGTCTTATGAGGACTAACATTTGCAGGTTTTGTTCTGTTTAATTTATGATTGTTCCAACTTGATCTCCCTCTAGTTCCAAAAGCAACATCATTCCAGCTGTTACACACTGGCTGTTTCTGATTCCTGCCCACTACAGTTTTCCCTGGATTTACTGCCCCACCTCAAAACAAAGCAATGTTGGCCGCTGTAGTCTCCCTGCTGCCTAGAACATAGGTATCAGAAGGGCAGATGTGTTTGTTCTTCACCAGCAGACAAGGAACAAAAAACTGGAGAGTCCCAAAGCCACTGGATTCAAGTTCGCTCTTGACTGAGTGAAGTGAACGGGCACATTCCTGTCCTAACTTCACCGCCTCTCTCCAGTCCCTCAGTGACACCCTCTAACTCTGTCACTGCTGAATCTTTCTGATTTAAGCGACTCAAATTGGGAATATTAAGTCACCCTAATTAGAATAAAATAATAATCAACTTCCTCCTGCTAAATTTAAGAGAGACAAGAAAAACTGCCCCCTGGCTAGCACCACAGAAGCAGATAACCACTTGTGGGTCTCTACTCCTTTTCTAGGCCAGGAGACAAATTAATGTTTTCCAAATGGGCTATTTTGCACAGCTGATGGCTCTGTGGTGAGACTCCAGGTGTAAGCAGACTTCCTTGTCACTGTGCAAATACCCAGCCACGCAAGGCAATGGGAGGTCTGCTTGGGTTCACAGTTTCACAGCACGGAGGGCACAGAGGGGCAGAGCCCCAGGCATCATGGTGGTCAGAAAGCAGAGGCAGAGAGGAGCCCACTAACTGACTTTCTCCTGTCCCCAGGTCATTCCAGCTGGCTCCAGGCCAATCGGATGGTACAGTCAAGGGTCTTCCCTCCTGGATAATCCTCATAGGCATACCCAGGTGTGTTTTGATAATCTTCCAGATAGTTCTTAAATCTAATTTAGTAGAATGATCCCCCAGACTAGTGATAGATGCTCTCAGTCACTGAGATTCAGGGGCTCTAGGTTCAATACTTTATCAGACCAAATAACAAACAAGGCCAAGCCAGGTCAGAGGCCTGAGCTGAGCCTGAAGCCAAGCTGGGTATTTCCACCTGTGAAACCTGTCCCTGAATAGACTGTAATAGACTACGCTTTATATTTCTATCGTATTTCCACTATTTTTGCAGCTTCCCGTTTTAAAACCATCACAGATTCACAAGAAGTCACAAAAGTCAAGCAGTACAGAGACACTGAGGAAAGTGACCTCATCTGTGACAATAGTGCCTCTCAAGGCAGGAACTCTGCAGCCCGTTTATTCACCGGGATTTCATTATTTAAAAAAATATACATACCCTTTCTCTCTTTTTTGACTTTTGTCTGTTTATCGAGACAGGGTCTCTCTGTGTAGCTCTGGCTGTCTTGAAACTCATTCTGTAGACCAGGCTGTCCTGGAACTCATAGGAATCCCCCTGCCTCTGCCTCTGCCTCTGCCTCTTCCTCCCAAGTGCTGGGATTAAGGATGTGCACCACCACTACCTGGTTTAAAATATATTCTTTTATAAAATGAAAAATTTAATACAAGTGGTTACATCTTTCTCCAGGTCTGCTGTTGTCCTTATATCTTCTCAAGGAAGGTTGTGATACAGTTTCTGTCTGGGGATTATGTCTGAGGCCACTCACACTGCTCTCTGGTTCTGAACATGAGTGAGTGCCCTGTTTTCTTGCATATCTAGCCAAGAGTCCTTTCTTAAAACTTGGAAATGACTGAACAGACAGAACAGACATATATAAAGCCCCATCTACAGAAGGAATCAAGCTAATCTGTAGCCAACATTCAAGACTATAAATGCGAGTAAGTGTATGGAAAGATGACATCAGAAACACACATTTATAATAAATATCACATGCATCCTGGAACACCGATTGTATAAAACCAGTAAATTTTTTTAGGTCAAATTGCTTTTCAAGGCATCTAGAAGCAACATTGCATTTCCACAGGCTAAGGAT